TTCTCTGTGTAGCTTTGCACCTTTCCTGGAACTCACTTTGTAGACCAGGCTGGCCTCGAACTCAAAGAGATCCACCTGCCTCTGCCTCCCGGGTGCTGGGATTAAAGGCATGTGCCACCACTGCCCAGCGATTGTAGGCGTTTTTTCAGGATAGCTGCCCAGGCACATGATACTCAATGAGTATTTCATGGTTAGACAGATTTTTGTTGTTGTTGTTTTGTTTGTTTGTTTGTTTTTTGTTTTTCGAGACAGGGTAGTTTTGGTGCCTGTCCTGGATCTCGCTCTGTAGTCTAGGCTGGCTGGGATTAAAGGCGTGTGCCACTGCTGCCCATCGAGACAGCTTTAATTTTTAATTGGTGTTCTCTTAGATTCATGTTCTACCTTTACCTTTACACTTCTTCAATTTTTTTTTTATTTTTTATTTTTTTTTACACTGGCTTCACTAGGCAATCCAGGCCGGCTTCCAGATCGCTTCGCAGCCAAGGCTTGCCAAGAAGGCATGATTCTACAGCTTCCACCTCCCAGGGGCTGGGATCACAGGTGTGAATCATCACACACAGCTGAACATTTTTTTCCCCATGATCCAGGCTATAAGAAGAAAAATAAAGAGAAGGAAGAATAATCCTTTTAGGACTTACAAGCTTAGTTGATGACAACATTATTCTGTATGCAACTTCCAACACAGTTCATGAGTCAGCTGAGGTTGGGGGTGTGTACAGTGGTTACTTTTATGGGCTTTGGAATCAGGTGCCAAGGTCTGCATTGAGGTTTGTCTATCTCTGTGACTTTAGGCAAGTTCCTTCAACCTAGGACCTCTGAGTACTCAATATAAAATGTAGATAATGATCAGACTTACTTCCTTAGGTTGCTGAGAGGATATGAGCTTGTGCCATACAGGGGACATATTTACCAGTGTCTGGTACATAGTTAAATGCTCAAGAAATATGGAGGAGGCAAGCAAGCAAGAACAATAAATACTACGGAAAGCCAGTGCCATCACTTACAGGAAACTCGAGACCTGATTGCCACAATCTGGGGACAGTCATTAAGTTAATGGAGACTGTGTCTTATTTTAGACAAGTGCAACCGAATTAGGAAAATTATCATTCTCAGGTACAAAATGGCTGAAAATCTTGTCGGCATTTCTTTTAAAGCAGTGATACCTGTAACTCCACCAGTCGCTTATCTAGACACCACCAGTCACTGATGCAATGATTCCAGACTCAGCATCCGCAAGGTGAGGCTGCCATCTTAAACATTCCACAGAGCACTGAGAGCTATGTCATGGGCTTATAAGGGCAATGTGACACCTGAGTCACTACACACTGCTTTTGAGACAGATGTGGTGGTCCAGCAGGCCTGTCATCTAGTAGGAAAGGCACGGGCAGGAAATGGAGAGCTCCAGGCCAGTCTCGGCTGCAATGCTAAGACGCAGCGGTAAAACAAAGAAATATCAGTGCCTGGTGACATAGGTTTATAATCTCAAGTACTCAGAAAGCCGAGGAAGGAGAATCGCAAATCCAAGGCCTGCCTGGGCTACACATCAAGTTCAGAACAGTCTAGGAAACATCGTAAGAACTTGACTTAAAATTTAAAGTTTTGAAGTGGCGTCAGAAGTATTTCATGAGTGGTGAGTCCCTAGTTCTATCTCTAAGACAGAGAAGAAAGAAAGAAAAAAAAAAAAAAAAAACCACCTCTTGCCACCTAACAAATTACCCTAACCCCTGGTGGTAACAAACCATTCATTATCTCCCAGAGTTCCTGTGGGTCGGGAATTTGTACACCTTGCCAGTTTGAGTGCTTTCATGAGTACACAGTCAGGTGGTGATGAGAAACACAGTAGGAGCAGGAGAGCAGTGGGTTTGTTGTTGTTTGGTTCATTTTTTAGACAGAATCTTGGTATATAGCTCAGGCTATCCCAGAACTTTCATTCCTCCTCCCTCAACCTCCAGAGTGCCAGGAACAGGCATTTGCCACCACGGCCCTGCCCTACAAGCCATTCTTTAAACCTATTTTTTCCCCATTCCAGGCCAGTTTCTCAGGCCAAACACGTTGGTGTCAATCTTGACTCATATATGTCTTTTATACCCAAATTAATCTGTCATCGAAACAAATTGACTTTATCTTTAAAGTACATCCAGAGTCCAACTGCTCACCATTCACCTAGTCTAAACTTGCGTTCTCTCCTCTTGCTGGCTTCCCTACCTCAACTTCTGCCCACCTCTCTAGTCTGACAGACATGAAGCAGTCACAGTGACCTCATTTTTAGAAAAGATTTTATTCATGTATTTTGATTGTGATATGTGTGTATATAAGAGTCTTTCCTGGCTGAGCCATCTGGATAGCCCAGGATTCCTTTTCAGTTTGGTTGGTTTTTCATTTGTTTGTGAAGATTAAATAATGTTTATTTATTTGTATGAATGTGTAAGTGTGTGCATGTATGCTGTGTGTGTGTGTGTGTGTGTGTGTGTGTGTGTGTGTGTGTGTATGTGTGTCCATGGAGGCCATAAGAGGCAGTCTAGTTCCCTGGAGCTGGTGTTATAAGCAGTAGTGAGCTGCTCAATGTAGGTGCTGGGAAATGGATCTGGGTCCTCTGGAAGAGGATGTCACATTCCCTGGAGCTGGAGTTACAAGCAATTGTGAACCATCTATTATAGGTGCTGGGAACAGAACATGGGTCCTCTGGAAGAGCAGCAAGCATTCTTAACTATTGAGTCATCTCTCAGATCCATCTTGTCATTCTTATCTACCACCCCAAACAAGGCACAAAAAGGTTGCACTACCACTTGGTTGCACCTCCCATTCAGTCTCTGCTTTTAAAATCATGTTATTTTCAAATATTATATGAATAGAAACAGAAAGTATATAAATTTTGGAGACAGGATTTCTCTGTGTAACAGGCCTGGCTGTCCTGGAACTATTTTATAGATTGGGCTGGCCTCAAACTCACAGAGATCTGCCTGCCTCTGCCTCCCAAGTGCTGGGATTAAAGGCGTGCGCCACCACTGCCTGGCAACAGTTTTAGTTTTCAAGAAAGTGTCTATCTGCTTTTCAAAAAAGGCTCTGCCATATTACATCTCCATCAGCAAGGTGTGAATGGTCCAATTCTTCTCTGTACCTACTATATCATTCAGTATTATACATTCAAATACACAAACATAAATGTGTGTATATATATGTATATATTCTAAAATGTATATATTTTTTAAATTTTTGAACCCCTTAAAACAGAGTTCTCTCAGGGAAACAAATCTGTTTTCAGAATAAAGACACTATTCAAGTTGACTCATTATTTGTCTACCAAATCACCTTGTGTTTACACAACTAAGATTCCAGCCACTCTTATTAAAATGACTTTTTTTTTTCTGAGTCACATGAGTTGATCCAGGTGACCCAGACTCAGAACAAACTGAAACTTTAATTTTTTTTAATGAATTGCATATACAAGTTCTGCATTTATATCCTTTCTCCTCCCCTTTCCTTTTTCAACACCCTCCCCCATGATGCTTCCCCTCTCTCAAATTCATGGCCACTTTTTATTGTTGTGGTTTTGTTGTTTTTGAGACAGGGTTTTTCTGTGTGGCCTTGGCTGCCCTGGAACTCTCTCTGTAGACCAGGCTGGCCTCAGCCTCCCAAGTGCTGGGATTAAAGGCATGTGCCACCACACCCGGCTCCAATCTTACTGTCTTTACCCAAGAATAGTAGCTAATGGATGGTAGTATGCTCAATTCTGTGTATTACACAGACTACACAATGTTGAATGAATTTTGAAGTAACCACACAGCTCGGATTATAATGTTTGTTATCAAGATAATTTCATGACATAATGGAATATGTCATGAAATTATATTTGTTTTTATATATAAACATATATATGTTTATATATAAATATATATTTATATTATATATATGTCATGAAAATATTATTTCATGACATAATCATGGAATAAAAGGGGCATAGTTGAGGATGGATCCTTGTGTTGATTATTTTGTAGACTTTCTGGTTTGCAGTTTTCTTGCCTGTGACAAAGGCTTATATATTTAAGGGTGTTTAGGGGTAGTGTGAGAATGAGAGACTATAACAGTGTACTGAAACAGTGTACTTATCACAGGGTGGGTATAGAGTATGGGACTTGCTTCTAGAAGTTTCTATTTGTCACTGTCTCTTCTTCTCTGGTACTGGGGATTGAACCCGTTGGCCTTATATATGGGTAAGTGTTCTACTGAGCTATACTGCCTACTTACAAATATAAGAATGAATATAACTTCAAATTTTCCTTTGTCTCTGGCATGTGGAAAGCAGCACCAATTAAGTATCTGCATGTTGAATTAACATATGTATATACTGCAGTCAAGGTAGCCTAGTAACTGCATGCCTGGAGTAAATGCACCATCCATCCATTCATGAATTGCAGGTGAGTCAGTTCTTTATACACAATGCATGCTACCAAACAAAATCAATGGAAAAATTCTGGCTCATAGCTCCTGAATATATCTAAACCATCTGGCAAATTCAGTGAGCCAAGCATGGAGGTGGAATTGAATACATTGGTTGGACAGACTTACTCCCGTGAAAGCAACTGTTCTTTTTTTTTAACAAAAAACATAGAAAAAAATCCAAAACACCCCCTTAAAAACCCATTTATTTATTTACTTATTTGTGTATTTGCGTGCGTGCGTGCGTGCGTGTGTGTGTGTGTGTGTGTGTGTGTGTGTGTGTGTGTACATGAGCATGCTCCATTGTGCGCAGTGGAGCTCCATTGTGCGCAGTGGAGGTCAGAAGAGTCTTGTAGGAGCTGTTTCTCTCCATGTGGATCCCAGGGATTGAACTCAGGTTGTCAGGCTTGGCAGCAAGCACCTTTACCTGCTGATTAAACTCAGGTTGTCAGGCTTGGCAGCGAGCACCTTTACCTGCTGAGCTACCTCACCTGACCAAACCAATTCTGTTATACATGGTATTTATCCAAGAGACGGTTTGCGGTTTGCTATGTTCAAGAACTGGTCCTAGTGTTTATAAATCTTCACACACACACACACACACACACACACACACACACACACACACACCAGGTATATATACATGAATCAAATACCTAAATTAACCAAAGTGATTATGATAACACTGAAGCAGAGAAAAGAAGAAAAGTTAGGCAGAGGCAGGCAGATCTCCTTGAGTTTGAGACCAGCCTGATCTACAAAGAGAGTTCCAGGACAACCAGGGCTACAAAGAGAAACCCTGTCTCAAAAAAACAAATAAACAAATAAATAAAAATAAAGGGCTTGAAGTTTAAAAAAAAAAAGAAATTAGGTTGTAAATTTGTTCAATAAATACATTAAACATTTTGCTGTTGTTGTTTTCAAAACAGGGTTTCCCCGTGCATCTCTGGCTGTCCTAGAATTCACTCTGTAGACCAGGCTGGCCTCGAACTCACAGAGATCCTCCTGCCTCTGCCATCCAAGTGCTGGGATTAAAGGCATCTATCACTATGTCCAGCTTTTGTGTTTGGTTTTTAGAAAAAGATTGATTCATTTTTATTTTATGTGCATGTGTGCATGCCTGAAACTCTGTATGTGCACCAGAAAACGATGTCACGTCCACTGGAACTGGAGTTCCAGGCAGCTGTGAGCCACCAGCATGGTGCTAGGAGTGCCCCTTGGCCCTGTGGAAGAGCAGCGAGCACTCTTCCACTCTTAACTGCTGTGCTATATACTCCTATGTTTTTGTGTTGTTGCTTTTTTTTTCTTTTTTTTTCTTGTTTGAGACAGCATCTCTTTATGAAGTTCTGATTATCCTGGAACTCCCTACATAGACTGGACTGGCTTCAAATAACAGAGATACACCTGCTTCTGCTTTCCAAGTGCTGGGGTTAAAAGTACATGTCATCACACATAGCTTGTTGTTTGGTTTTGAGGCAGGGTGTTATTATGTAGCCCAAGATGGAAGTGGCCTGAGACTTATCACTATTCCATCTCGGCCTCTAAGTGGTGGGGTTACAGACATGAACCTCCATACCTTGCTCATGCTTATACCGTCAAGAATTAGGCCTGATCAAGTCACTTTTTAAATATTATTTATTTGCTTATTTCTTTTCTTGATTTTTTTTTTTTTAAAGGCAAGGTTTCAGGCAGCCCACCCTGGTCACCAATTCACTAGGTAGCTGACACTGGCCTTGAACTGCCAATCCTTCCTCCTCTACCTCACAAGCGTGAGTGTGAGTGTGTAAGCATGAGTGTGAGTGTGTAAGCGTGAGTGACGACTGCATTAGGATTTGTTCTTTAAAGCTTGTGTCGTTTTTGAGGGTAACACTGTCATTGCTGAAGTGAAAGAAAAACATGAGGAAGCATTAAGGGGGGGGGGGAAGGGAAGAGGGAGCAGTGGGATGTGGGAGGGCTCTGGGCTGCCATCAGAACTTCTGGGGGCTGTGATTCCGGAGAAACCAACTCCTCTCTCTGGGCCTTCCCTCTTGTTGGTAAATAGGCCTCCCATTTTGTTTCTCCTTATAAGGGGTATGCAAATGGAGGCCAGGAAGCCAAACTCCGCCCGCACCTGACTTCTGCACCTGTGAGATTACAGTGCCATTGACATTTTTAAGTGATTGAAAAAAAAATTGAAAAGAATAATATTTTATGAAATGGAATCAGTCTTGATGTCCATGAACAGGCGAATGGATAATGAAAATGGGCTACATACTTACGATGGGATTTTTATTCAGCTGTAAAGACAAATAAAATTATGAAATTTGCAGGAAAATGGATGGGTCTGTGCATTATTATATTAAGTGAGGTAACCGAGTTCTGAAAGGTAAATATTGCATATTTTCTCTCATTTTCAGATCCTAGCTTTTAATATTTACATACATGGGCGTGAGTGAGGTCCTGATACCAGAAAGGGGGTCATAAAATGGAGGAAAGCCACACTGAGGAAAGGGTGAGGATAAACGGACACTTGTGAAACTCGTGTGGCATGAGAGACTTACTAGAGGTATAAGAATAAAGGGACAGGCTGGGGGGGGGTGGGGGAGAAGAGAGAAGAAGGTGGAGTAACAAAAACAAACTGAAAATGAAATAATGATGATAACATTGGGTGCAATTTTTTTTTTTTTTTTGGGCAGAGGCTGGAGAATAGAGATGAGTCTCAGGCCAGTTCCAAGACCCTGTCTCAAAAGCCAAGAAAAATAATACTTTATGATACAAAAACTTGGAATTGATAGTTTTATTCATTAGAAATTTCAGGCTACTGGAACACAGCCACGATCACTTGTTTACGTATCATCTATGGCCAGATTCATGCCAAGTCATTTCATGTCGAGTAGTTGTCCACATTGATCTCAGAGTTCACATAACCAGACATGTTTACCATCATCTGGCTCCCTTTATAGAGAGCAAGCTAGTTCTCTATAAAGGTACCTGTTCTATGTACGGTGTATTTAGTACAACTGCTTATTTTGTGTTGATCCACCTCTTTTATGTGAGATATGTGCTCATTAGGTATTTTCCAAAATGTTATTATACTACATAACTCCACAAACAGTTCAGTTATCTAGAAGAGGAATTTCCCCTCCAATGGACGCTAATGCTTTAGTGTAAGTACATAACAGGGTCTTCGTATTTGTTACTGAATCAACCTTTTAACACCAGGGACAAGCCACTATTTTAAGAACACCAACAGGAATTTCTCATCTAATAAAAACTCAGTAACCTATTCTTGGCAATTTCCAACTCTCCTTTGCCATTATTTATTTATTTGTTGGTTTGTTTTTTGAGACAGCCCAGCTTTGCTGTTATTTTTTAAATGATGTTTGCTGATCAAAATTCTCCCCGAAAAAGAGAACAAAAACAAACGAGAGAGAGAGAGAGAGAGAGAGAGAGAGAGAGAGAGAGAGAGAGAGAGA